AAGGAAATGGAAAGACTTGGAAAAATTATATTAAGTGAAGCAAGCCAGACCCAAAGACATTTAGGTTGCATGGTTTCCCTTATTTGTCATAGTAGAATGTGCCTATGAAATCTACAAGTAAACACAATGGATGGTAAAAGACAGGATAAATTATATAGAACTCTAGACATTCACACAATGAGACCACAGAACGATATTCTTGGGAGAGGATCACAAAGGCACAATAGCTATGTGTATATAAAATGATATTTACAAAAATAAACTCTAAAAAATGGAAACAAGAGGTGGTTTTTTTCTTTTGTTGCTGCTTTTGTTTTCTATACTTTTTGTTTTGCTTGTAAGTTTGTAAATTTATCTGTTTGGAGGAAGATAACGGGGAGCACAGAAATGGTGGGACAAACAATGAACAAATGCAGCAAGGATACTCACTAGGCACTATACAACTTGGGGGTGGGGGAATGGAAGGGAAAACCCAGGAGAAAGTGAGGGAAGGGTTGACACTATTTAAAAACAAATGCATTCATTACCTGACTTATGTAACTATAACTCCTCATATATCATCTTTATAATAACAATAAAAAAGAAAGTGTTTATGAATATGAGGAAGATAATATTTAATCCATGACCTATTGAAAGGAAAACTGAGGGGAGGGGTAAGATTGGGAGGGATGGGAGAGAATGCTGAAAGGAATAATGTTGATCAAGATGCATTATTCTTATAAAATGACATGTTGAATGATAACCTCTCAGTCCAACTAAAAATAATAAAAAAGAAAGTTTGTTGAAACAGGCACATGCATTCATTCATATATTTTCTGTGTTGCTTTTCAATTGCTACACAAAAGGTAAGTAGCTACAATAGTCATTCTATGGCTCATAAAGCCTAAAATACTTGTTATCTTAGGTAATAATTATTATTTCTATAATAGATCATCTATTACAGAAAAATTTGCTGATCTCAATTTTTTTGAGGTACTGGAGCTTCATGATTGCTAGAGACACTCTCTACCACTTGAGCCATGTCTCCAGCCCTTTTTGCTCTAGTCAATTTTGAAATATATCTCACTTTTTTTATTGAATCAGTCTGGACCACAACTCTGCTATTTATGCTTCCTGCCATATCTGGGATGATAGGTAAGTGGATTTTGTAAGATTTTTCTGTTGTGATGGGGGTGTCATGAACATTATTGTCTTGCCTGGCCTGGAACCATGATCCTTCCCATCATAGCCTCCTATGTTTCAGGGATGACAAATGGGCACATTTACCTCCAGCAATTGAGATAGAAGATCATGATCTTTTCTCTTGGGATGTCCTCAAACTACAATCCTCCTGATCTTAGCCTCCTAAAGATAGCAGACAAGCACCATTGGTACATGGCCCATTCTACCTCTCAGTATAGCAAGGTCTAAGTTCTGGGCCAGCTTGGGCCACATATCAAGTATGAGTCCACCTTCCATTATATAGCAAGACCCTCTTTTCAGAAAATCAAATAATAACAGCAATAACATGTACTATAACAAAAATTAATCATCACATGTACGCTTAAAATAGGGAGCATCTCACCACTACATGTTAAGAATATATTGCAAAGTGAAGCAAGAACAAAGTAGAAACCATCAAACATTATGTAAGTTATGAGATTCTAATGGGCTTTAAATTCAAATAGTTTCCAAAACTATGCTTTTCAATTATGTAACCCAATGAACCTAGCCTTTTGTCAAGCAAATTTGAATTGGATTTCCTTCATTTGAACTAAAACATTTTAAATTCAGTACACAGATAAAATCAATAATGTTCTATATAGAAGCACAACTCTAATTGCTTCCTCTATCATATGCCCAACAGTCCATGAAGATATTCAATATTTCTGCAGATTAGAATGTGACATGCTAGCAATTGTGATTCATGTAACAGCTACAATGTTACAAAATGTGGGACTCATTTCAGAGGGTTTTTTTCTATCCTGATAGATCTTAAAGTGTTATTAAAGAATTAAGAACAAAGAAAGTAGAAACTAAAGTTACTCGTACCACACACAAACAGTAGAGAATGGAAGACATGTATCTCAGTTAGCATCTCTCTGAAAATGGAACTGCTTTAAGACCAGCTGGAGAAAAAGGCCAACTTGAGAAAGCCAAAACTCCCAAGGGGAAAAATTAAACCAATTAGGGAGATGGTGATTAAAACTGGAGCTGCTAATTTTCTACTGGGCATGTAGCTCCAATAATGTTCTCTAGGAATTATCAGTAGTGGGAGAAACAATTATGTCTGTGGTACTGTTGATTACGTAGTCATCATTTGTCTGTAATTTCTCTCTAACAAACTAAAAAGCACACAAAAGTATGGCTTTCAATGAAAACTATATGTTCCTGTGAGGAAATAATTATTATCATGTTTAGATACAGAAATGTTTGGTGTTTTAACAGATTTTTAATGTGTACATTTCAATAGCACACTTTTCATCTCTATAAGCCAGATGTTAGTCTACAGAAAGACTGAAATGATTAGAGATCAATTATCAACAGACAGAACAAAAATCAGGTTGTGGGAAGTAGTGAAAGAGAAGGCTTAGAACAGGATTCATTTCAGCTTTTTGGGTGGGGTTTTTCCTATGGTTGCTGTTATTCTTACTTATACCAAGAACAGCATGCCATAAGAGGTATGTTCATCCTGGAGATTTCCAGGAATTTAAAGAGTCATTCACGACTTGACGCACAAGAGGTGCTTAATAAATGTTATTATTCTTTTAAAAAATCATTCAAGAGTCAGAAAAGGAAAAAAGGGAAGGGATGGAGGCATGGCTTAAGTAATAAAGCACCTCCCTGGCAAGTACTAAGCCTTGAGTTCAAACCTCAGTAGAGACAGAGACAGAGAGAAAGAGGGGAGAGGGGGACTTACAAGATAATTTCAAAGTTTGTCTCTATTAAAGATGAAACCCAAGTAACATCTACTGGTAGACAACCACCCACAGCCTCCTTTCTCTTCTTCCTTAACGTGTACTGGAAGAGCAGAGCTCATGTCTAAGTGCAGCTTAAATTCCCCATTGTCCTCTGAAGGTGAGTAGGGTTAATGGCAGTGCCAGTAGAAGTGAGGGGTTCCTTGCTGAGTCCTTCAAAATGCTTCTCCTGGACGCTTTCCAGATGGGAATTTGCAATGACCAGAGCAACTATGGGGTGAGGATAGTAGAATGACCCTGATAAACGTGGACTTCTGGGTTCAGAGAGGCAAATACACTCTTCATTAGTGTTCTCAAGATAAGTAATTTCTCTAAACCTCATTTTGCTTATCCATAAAATGAATTCATAACAATTATTCCTACAACACTAAAGAAAAATAAATGGGTCAAGAGATAGATGTAATTTGCTCAACTTCATGTCAAAGCTGATGATAAAGGATTCTTACTACAATGAAAGCTTTCAAGAAGCTGTTTTCATAAGCTGCTGTCATTAAGTAGCAATTGTGCTCACAAAAAAAAAAAAAATCCCAAATATAGAGCCAGGTGGTTCATGCTTGTAATCCTAGCTACTGGGAAGGCTGAGACTGGAAAAAAAATCTCAATTTGAGGGCAGCCTGAGCAATAAGAAAGCTGATTATGGTAAGCTGATTATGGTAGCATGTGCTTGTTAGCTCAACAGTGATGAGAAACATAAGGTGGGCAAATCATAGCTCAGGAGCACAGCTAGGCAGGAAACCAGACCCTATCCTAAAAAAGTAACCAACAAAAGTCAGGGCTGAAGGTGTGGCTCAGAGGACCAACCTAGTAGAGCACCAACCTAGTAATAACAAGTTCCTATAATCAAAGCCCAAAACTGCCAAAACCCAATTAAAATCCTAAAGGTAAAAATATGTACACATTCCAAGGAAATTTGGAACTACCTTATAATTTTAGCTCAGAAGAATTAAGATTAAACATTGTTTTATTATAGGTTAGCCAACTTTGCCTAAATCATCAGTTACTTATATCTTGCTTTATACCGTTAAGTGTTATACAAATACTACTTGTTTATGCTGAGTTGACTGAATTGAGTTCCATGTTTGCATAAAACAGTTGAACAGAAAAACATATCAATCTACATTGCCAGATCACCATGGTAGGCTGAGAAAAAGACACAAGTTAACTGAGATCAACTGCACTGGACTCCTAGCCTTCATCACAGGACTCTAACATCAATGAAGGCCACAGTCTGCCTTTTCCTTGCACACACCTTTCCCTGCTTCTCTAGAGAGCTTTGGCAGATGTTAACTAGTGGCCTGCAACAGTTTGGTTTCTTCCTATCTTTTATTGGCAAGTTTTGGCTAGACTATACTCTTAGGATTTTTGATACCTTGATATTTGCTGAAGACTACAGATGAGATACTTAGCACCAAGGTAAGAGGACTGTTCGTCTTTCCCCAGGGCTCTCACAGAGGTTTTACATGTCACAACTTGTAGAACAATCACAAAATTATATCACCCTCCTGAGACAAGCATCTCTGAAATGGGAACATGGGTCACATCACCAGGTTTAGCTCCTTCTATCTACCCTGATATCCAACGGCTTAAAATGAGATGTAGTTCTTTATGGCAAAAGGATATTGAACCTAAAGCAATGATGAAAGATGTTGGCCCAACCTGTGTATACTGTTATGATTATTTATCCCATTAAAATGAGCTTGAGTTTGTGATTTCTACCCTACTTTCTGAAGACATCAATAATCAATAAACATTCAGCTTGCCAAACTCCTTTGAAAGACCCAGGAGCCCCTGCAAAGGTAAAGTTCTGGTATAGTATCATTCAGAACTTCAGCCTTAGGACTGAAACACCAAAACTCAGGAACTAAATACTCAAGGAAGCAACAGCAAAATCCACAAACACCAACCTGGAGTAAAAAAATTGCCTCTGGTACTTGGTTTCAAAAACTCAAGGCTTTAGAACAACAGCAAAAAATCCCTCAGTAGGGAAGCAACAAATAACTCAAGATCTTTATTCTTGTTCTACTTCCCTGAATTGTTACTTACAGGTTCCCGGCCATCCATGGCTTCCATCCAGAGCCTGCGGTCCTCTTCCGACAATGCCTGCATAGTGATAACCCCTGGCCTGTACAGAAAGGAAAGACACAGATATGACCCCAGTGCTACATTCAGCCAAGTGGCAGAGAAGAATCTTAAAGAAATCCTCACTCAACACAATGTGAGGCCACTAAGTCCAACAGCACCAACAGAGGCACAACACTCAGCTTTTCTAAGCCACTTCTATGAGCTCACCTCCCTCACAGAGGTAGGAAGAAACATAGGAGATACAAGTAAATGGTAAATGAAATGATTCTTTTAGATCTTGTTTGTTCCTTAAAATCTTACATATTTCTAGTCTACATAATACTTATTTAACACAGTGCTTTACTCATAGGAATGAGTATTTACTGAGGTGAGCAGAGTTGCTGAACTCAGGATAAATAGAGGGAGAAACATGCAAAGTTAGTGTTCTCTTCATTTCCTAGTAACTAGTCCAATGTCTCTAAATGGCGCTTGACAGCGTTAGAGTTAATCAGCGTTGTAATTATGAGTCTATTAAGTGTATGTAATTTTTAATGAACACTTACTGTGTTAATGGCCGAGTGCTTTATGGGCATTAGCTTTTTATGCTCTCATTGAAATGTGCTTGCTCCTTCCAACTGAGCACAGGCACTCCAGTACCAAAGTGTTTGTTGAGTTCTAAGACTGTGCCTAAAAATGACTTTAAAGCAGATGTCCTACATTTAGGGTCCACAGATAGATTGCACATTCTCCATTAATTACTTCCCCCACAAAAATTTATGCATTTTTTTCTGTAGGAACAATTCAAACTGTCTATCAGGCTTTCAAGGCTACATCCCTGAAAAAGTGAAAAAAGAGTTGATTTAAACCTCATTTTTAATGACTGAGAAATTGTGAAATAAAGGAAGAGACAGACTAAAGAAGAACTGAAGTCTGATTACCATCTGAGTCCATAGGCCCTGTGACAATCCAAAAACAGTAATGTACTAAAAATATACAAGTCTAGGCCCCCTAGCACCCAAACCTGCCCATTTCAATCCACCTACTCTCTCTAGTCCTGGCTGCTTTCCATAGTTCCAATGAATAGGATAGACTTGTTTATGCTTCATACATTTTAACTAACATATCTGTAAGCATGTAAGTATGGAGGTCTAGGGATATGAAAAGCATTGATACTGGGAGTGAGTATGTGTGTTTGAGACAGAGACAGAGAGACAGAGAGAGACAAAAACAAAGACAGAGTGAGAGGGAGGGAGGAAGACAAAGAAATAGAAAAAAAGAAAGAAACAGAGAGACAGGAGAGAGAAATAGAGATATAGATGGATGGGAGTGGGTGGGTGGGTGTGACTGGTTTCTGAGAGGGTGTCCAGTCCTTGATGGCCACATTGGATACAGGCACCACAATGCAGATGACTCCAAACATGGAGAAACTTCCATTCCCTTGAGCCCCTGCCAGGGCTATCCATCTTCTCAAAAATTTGCATTCTCAGAACCAAATACCCATTTTCCACCAGCAGCCCATTCAATATGCTAGGATCCCTGGTATCTATAGATGGTACTCACAGCCACAGCTCTCAGAACTGATCTGTGGCTTAGAGGCTCAGTGGATTGATGTTCCCCCTTCCAACTTTCAAAAACACTAAGTGTAAAGGTTACTTTGAAACTAATGGCTTTGAAATAAAAAGCCTATGAAACTGTGGTCTACTGAGAAACTCTTAGATCCCAGGATCTTTGAGTGCTATTCAAGGTCTTGTACCTGTACTTCCAAATTGGGCAACCTATTAAAACGGGGATTTCCAGCCCAACCTCACCCTACTGAAGGTAAACTTCTTGGCCATTCCTGGGAACTTGACTTTTAACCAAGGCTAGAAGATCTTGATGCATCTATGGCCCATGCTCTGGACTTCCTGTTTCATCCTCACTTGTTTCCTTCCTGGTCTCACTGAAGTAGAAAGCATAAGCACTCTCCTCTCTATACTGGGATCAATGAGCCAACAGATCTGCATTTCATTCCCTGCAAGAAAACAGCTGGAGCACAAGAGATGCCTAAATATCAAGATCCCAGGGGCTTTGTCACAACTTCATGGCACATGGTATGAAAGTGCACACAGAGCCCACCATATTCAATGCAGTAAGATAGGCCACTTGGCAATGGTAACAAGAAAAAGACAACATGATCTGTTTTCATTTCAAGAACATACATCAACATATAATTCATATGGTCTTGTTCCCTCTTGTGGAAAGAGTGTGGTGGAGAACGAATAGCAGGTGGTAAAGAAAGTAAATCCAACACATTTCATTTTAATCTTGGTTCCCCAAGTGTACTTTTCTTTAGCTGTCTCTATGTACAACGAGATATAGGACTGTCCTTTCTAGGTATCTAGAAAATATTCTTTTGTTTCTCTCCAATACAAACAGAAACACTATTACACAGATATCTTTAGTTGCTTGTGAAATTCCTAGAGCCAAAGTAACAGGGTCAACTTTCTTTATTTTGGAATCAAGCAATAACTTTCCATATTTACTTTCACTGGACCCCTCATAACCACTATCCCTCAAAACCAACAAAATCTTCAATGACCCTATACTTTCCATGTCAGCCCCTGTGAGACAGCACACTTTCAGATCTTCTCTACATGGTGTGCAATTACTTGTTTGAAATGCATGTGGTTGTTTTCAGAGCAAAACAAAAGTAAAGCCCCAAGTTCAATGCCCATTACAAAAATAAAAAGAAAGAAAAAGAAAAGAAAACTAGGCTCAGGTTTATTAAGCAACTCATTCATGATTATGGAGCTAGCAAGTTACACAAACTAGATGTGAACACAAACAGTCCATTTCTAAACCTTGCTTAATGCATAATTTCATGGCAAATGGAAAGGTGCCAGAGACCTCTAGAGTACTCCTGATGACCACCCAAGTTTTCTTGACTCAAAATCGACAAGCCACTTTTTCAAGTACCTTAATGAGCTCCTGCATGATAAACCCTAGTAAAGAATCAAATGAGCTAGAATGAAAAAGGGCTTGTAAATTTATGCGCCATAAATACTAGGGCCAGACTACCTACCACTATAGGCAAGTAGCCGATCCCAAACCAAGAATCCAATATTGCCCAAAGGAACTAAGGCTGATTTCTATAAAGATCTCCCAAATGTATTTTTTGCATCAAAATATTTACCAGAGAAAAACAGTGAGTTTTTAAAGAAAAAATAATACAGAAGGTATCATAAAAAGTATTTGCAGATTGGAATTCACCAAAATGAAAATTTTGTATTCACCAAAAATAAAGGAGAGAAAATGTAAATCAGAGTAAGAATATATTTGTAGTATGTATCATCATCAAAACTCATCCAACATAGGTGAAGAATGTTTACAGATAAATGGGGAGAATAAACAATGAGATTCAATAAAAGACTTAAAAGGAAGCCAGGCATACCTGTAACCCAAGCTACTCAGGTGACCAAGATCTGACAATCATGGTCCAAAGCCAGCCTGAGCAGTTTAGTCTGTGAGACCCTTATCTCCCATTAATCATCAAAAAAGCCAAAAATGGAGCTGTGGCTCCAGGAGTAGAACACTAGCATTGAGCACAAAAACTCAGGGACAGCACTCAAGCCCTGTATTCAAGACCCAGGACTAGAATAATAACAAAAAAAAAAACCACAAAACTTAAAAGTTACTTCTTAAAAGAGAACATCCAAATGGCCAACAGGCATAAGAAATAAGACACAAAACAATTACTCACCAGGGAAATGTAATTGAACCCACATTACCCTTCTGAATGGTATTAAAAAGACCACAACACTGAGTAGCTAGGACTCTCATACATTTCTGGTTGGAAAAGAAACTGACAATATCAAGAAGAATGAATTTAACACTATTTACTAGAATTAAACACACAGCCTATGACTTTGTCATTCTACTCCTACATTTGTCACCAAGAGAAATGAGGACATATGCCCACTACAAGACACATGAAAGAATGCTTACAGTGAACTACATCAACAAAAATATCTTCCAAAAGAAACCAAAAAAACAGGTGTCAATGTTTACACCTTTAATTCTAGCTACTTAAGAGGCTGAGATCTGAGGACTGAGGTTCAAAGACCGCTCAAGAGGCAGAAAAGTCCATGACTCTTATCTCCAATTAGCCACCAAAAGCCAGAAGTGGAGCTGTGGCACAAGTAGTAGAGTGGTTTGCCTTGAGTAAAAAAGCTAAAAGACAACATACAGGCTCTGAATTCAAGCCCCAGTACTGGCAGGACAGGAGGTTAAGAGATAGAGAGGGGAGGGAGAGGAGAAAGAAAAATTGTTCTCTGCCTAAACTATGTGACATCACACAATTGAAAGTAACCTACTGTTGCTATACAGAAGATCATGGGATAAATCTCAGACTTGAGGAGTAAAATAAGTTAGGTACAAAAGACTACAAATCCTACACAATGTTCATACATGTGCAAAACTTTTCCATGATGCAATAAGTCAGAAGAATGATTCTGTTTAAGGAAAGCACAAACAGAAACTTCTGGAGAAATACAAATGTTTTTCTGATCAGGTGTGTACATGTGTATATGTATAAAAAGTTATCAAAACACAGGCACAAGATTTATGCATTTTACTGTAAATAAATCTGAATTAACCTGTTATATAGGGTTGTGGATGTAGCTTAGTGGTAGAGTGCTTACTTGCCTCACATTTTCAAGGCTTTGGGTTCAATCTTCAGTACTATTTTTTAAAATCATTTGTTTTAAACACCCAAGAGGTAAGACTTCTCATGTAATTTGTGTGTGTGTGTGTGTGTGTGTGTGTTCGTGTGTGTGTGTGTGTGTTCGTGTGTGTGTGTTCGTGTATGTGTGTGCTGGTAGTGGGGTTTGAACTTATGGCCTGGATTCTGTTCCTGAGGTGTTTTTCGGCTCGAAGCTAATTAATACTCCACCATTTGAGCCACAACTCCACTTCCTGCTTTTTTTTGGTCACTGATTGGAGATAAGAGTCTCCCAGACCTTCCTACACGGACTGGTTTCAAGTTGCAATCCTCACACCTCAGCCTCCTGAGTAGCTGGGACT